GCTTACACAAATGCCCGCTTAAAGCCTTATGTCAAATCATTAAATGACATTTTGATATAATTACCATTAAATTGAAGATATGTTACTGAAGATTCGCCACACGGTGCACTTAATTTGGGTTCCATGGCCATGTCAACAGATTCCTCGCTCGGCTTTCATGGGCAGTAATTGTTGTTGCCGTTGTTACTTTATGTAGATGTGACGGGGCAGGTTTTTGCCATTTTGCCATTTTGCCAGGGCCATGTTCGAATTTGTTTCAATTCCAAGGACTCAGCGACACGTACGAGGCATGAAGTCATGGCATCCTGGAGAACCGATTTTTGGGGCAACGGGGCTGGGGCGCCGCCTTTGGTGGCCAGTCAAGAGTGAAACAGCCCTGTTAATATAAAGTAGGTAATTGAGATGGAAAGTGGGGGGTGGAGGGGGAGAGCTGGTGGCCCCTTTCAAACGAACTTGTTCAAATTAATCAAGTACAGTAGACTTGGAGTGTGTTTCTATTTTCCTATGCCCTCGTCGCTGACTCAGCACTTTGGCTATAAAATCATGCGTGGCCGGCAGACAATGAATGCACATAAAAATAATAATTGGAATTGGAAATGAAAACAATTTTCATGGCACATGAGTCGGCGCAAAACTCTCCAAGGAAAGCGCCTTTTCCCCAGTCAGCTGTTCACTGAGAAAAACTACACTTGGGATTATTACAATTTACTAAAGAACTACATAACAATTGATGAATAATACTTAGTATAAATGCATATTACTTCATGGATTTTAGTTCTTTTCTAGCTTTTATTATTTCGAAATCAATCTAATACTGGCATGTAGAAGAAGTTTCGCTGAGTGCTGCCTTGTTTGTCTCGGTCATAACTTTGGTTCCAATTGTGTGCAGGTGCTGGCCTCTGAACTTTGGCCCTTGCCAATTTTCTCTGGCCCATTGTTTGGCTATTTTTTTGGTCCGCTGAGCAACCTTTGACCTTATCGACTCTTGGTCGGGCGCAATTATCACCCCAAGATGGCACACCAAATCGAGTGTGCTGCCAATTTCGAATGGCCTGCGCAGAGTCAGTGGAGTTCTTAATGCCCTTATCAGTGTCACCCACACGCTCTCGTCCTCGTCCTCATCCGCATTCGCATCCGCATCCGCATCCGCATCCTTTGCATATGCATGAACTCCCCGGGGCGACCCACGCTGCGTATGGGTAATGTGCGTATGCGTATGCGTAATGTGTCGCTCTGGTTTGTCGCCATTTTTGGCAAGTGGCCTGTCGTCAGTTGGCAACCTGGAGGAGGAGGTCCCGCCCCGTATGCCACTGCCGTATGCCGGTAAAACGTTTAGGGAAAGGCTTAAATAATCCAGTTCCTCTCGATCATATCCTGCATTTTCCGGTGCAGTGAAGTGGAAAAATGCGTACAGCTTTGGTCCGTAAATGGGTATTAAGGCAATGATAAGAAGTGATTATATTACTGTATTATTATCTCATTAGCATGATATTAATAGGATTTAAGCTATGTGGATATTGTGAGGGTCTGCAAATGTTCAAAGAGAACAACGCACCCTTAGCATCTGTATAAACATTTTTATTAGTTTGCTTATTAGTGTAATTTGAAATGCTGCTTTCTGATGGCGATGTTTTTTATTTCTGCAGAGGGTATTCAAATGCTTTGTTATGCTTACGCTCGTTTACATTTTTCAAAGCCGTAACTGGGCTAAAAACTGTTGCTCCTACGTGCTCATATATAATTCCGAACTGCACCTAAGACAGACGACCCCTTAACCCCAGATGCCCGCAGATGTCCAAAGGCGGGGTAGCAGTACAATACAAAAACGTAAGCAATAAAATGAATTTTTATGCCGCATTTTCGCAATGCAGGATAACACCCATACAAACACGCATATCCACACACACACTCGCACACACACAGACACAGAGAAAGGGGCCGTCACCTCGACACAAAATATGTGTATGTTACCTTTGGTAGAGCCCTTAACCCTACACAGCCCCCAGGATGCATTCCTGGAAACCAAAAGCGAAGCGAACACATTTACACATGTAAGTGCATAAAAAATGTTTATGAATTTCAGTTTATGGCGCGTAAAACACGCCAATAAATGTACCAAGGCATTAAAAATGCCTTTCCCCAATGGCCACGCCCCCTTTGGGGGCCCACTCGTTGGACTTTGCCGCACTAATAAACAATCAGAAATGGGCATAAAGTATGGGGAATCGGGCAGGAATGGCAAAGGGCAAACGACAGCGGGGAATTTCCCTCCTGTGTTTTTCCTCGCTTTTTGTCTTTCCCCCCACTTCCATTTTCTTCTTTTTCCCCACCCGAAATTTCTTTTTTTGCTCTGCCAGAAGGTGTTAGTCGCCCCGCTGGCGCAGCTCTTGTGGCCAAACCCACAGCCCCGCCCACCATTTTCACCCCGCCTACCATGAATATTTATGCAAAAACACACACTCACACACTCGCACACACACACCCGCACACCCGCACATTTGGACTTGTGTTGCTCTTCCTGTCAGTCTGCTGAAGTCCTGTAGTCCTGGATGTCCTGGCTCCTTGGTGTTTCCTTATTGTTGGCTGCGTTATGCCAAGTGTGCTCTAATGCACTTTACGACACTTTATGGCAGTTTTCCGGGGGCCAGAAATTATGGCAAATTGATGAGAATATACATATGTGTCTTGGCTCCGCGCTGGTGCGAAAGTTTTTGTTAGCTTGCCAATCGCAATTTTCATTCGAATATTTTGATTTTGGGTGTGTAGGTCGCTCGTATATTAGGTCGCCTAGTAAAATATTTGCTCTAACAATCTATATAATTTGGGATCAATCATGGCGTAAAGAGCTGATTTCTTTTATTGAGGAAATTAGAGCCCGCAATAAAAATTCCACCGATAGCCAGGCGAAATCCTTTTGCAAATTCATTCGGAATTCAACCCTTTTCTTTTTTTTTGCCCACAAACGACACCAAAAATTTGCGTCAATCGCACACTTTGCCCTTCCTTTCCCCGTTTTTTGGCCTAATGAAAGTCCAGGGCAATGTCCCATTTCTGGCCATGATCCCTATACAGAATTTTAGCGCCCTTTTGTCTCGACGCCTTCATGCAAATCGTGTGGGCGGGGCAGCTTTTGTACCGCTTTCAAGTAGCCTCAGTTTTCGCCCATTATTTCCCCCGCTTTTTCCCAATATTTTTACTGCGTTCCCGTTTTTTTTTTTTTTTTTTTTTTGCTTTTTTTCGAGTACTTAACGCCACGAGGAATCGCCTAAGACAACTGAAGCGCAAAAAATGCGAAAAACATGCAGAGAATAAAGTGGAAAATCGGGGGTAAAGAATGGCTAAATGGATGATTGGGTGGCGGGGCGTGTAATCAAAGCGTTTGGATATCAAAGATTCGGAAAGAGCAAAGTTATGCATAAATTTTGGACGCCGTCGCGACGGGCGATTTGTGGAAATGCGGAAAAGCGGTGCCTCTTCCAGGATCGCCCAAAAATCAATAAAGGAAACAAATTAGTTTCGTCTTAAAAGCAGCAGCACAGTATCAAAATAAAATTTCCAACAGTCGCGTGGACCAAATAATACCGCGAAAACAAGGGAAAGTACACACTTAAGCCCACATAAGATGGCACTGAGAATAAATGTTGGTAGTTCGAATGGGGAAGAGAGAACTCAAATTATATTTATATTACATTTTTGCTTCAAAGTGGCTTTAGACGCCTTTTGAAAAAGCACGCTCAACAAATTTATAATAATAAATTGTAAATTGGTACTTCACTTGCGATTACAAGGACTCAAAACACAGCGAATTAAAGCAGTTTTAACTCTGCGTGTGTAAATAGGCGGGCCGAAGGACCCTCAGTGACATTGTTTGTTGTGGAGCCGCAGGACACGAACAGACACAAGAGCCTAATAATGGCCGCACATAAAATTTTATTAGCACGAGCGTAACAATTCAATTGGGTCATGCTTTATGGCGCCGCAGGGCGGCGGGGGGCGCTTTTGGGCGCTGCAGTGCGCCCCCTTCCCCCACCCCTCAATCCCAGCACATTTGGGTCATCCAGGTGCAGTCGAAGGTCCGGAAAAATCGAAAAAATGAGGTGAGCGTGTGTAGCGTGCTCTGCTTTTATGTTCTCCAAGATTTCACTTTCATCAAATGATGTCAGCGACAAAGGACGATATTTGTCGCAAAGAGGATAGTTTCAAAGAGCTTAGGTACGATCACTTAAAAAAATAAGTATCATCAAACACTGTATCGTAGAATTTTAGATTTTTTGCTTCATTAAGCGGCCACAATGCGGTTAATTTAAATACATTGCATTCATTTGAGCGGCGCGCAGTAATTATTTTATAATTACAAAATAAATACATTTCAGGACTTCAGCAAATTAATTACATTTTTGAATTCCATATCAGCACCCTTGTTCGCTCCCTTTGCTCCCATTTTTGATAATCCTTCACCAAATCCCAAAAAAAATTGCAATATATTTGTCTGCAATTTGCCAACACTTGATGGGATTATCATTTATTTGGGTGCTGACATTTCGCCAACGGCGAAAACTCAATTTGGGGAAAACTCATTTGTTCGCGCGACGAAAAAGGAGCGCAAAATTGTTTGAACAAACTCGAGCGATTGTCTTACACTCGCTCCAATTGGATTTCCGTTATGAAGCTTCTGGAACAGCGCGATGCAAGTTAATAGGATTTTTCGGAGTGTCGCAGATGGATTGCGGAAAATACGTTTGTATATTTCAGTAAGAAGTATCTTAGTACTTGCGGCATAATAAAATGTAGACTGCTATCATCTTTAATAAATAATACATAAATATTGCATACAGAAATAAATGTAAAATATTCCACATATTTTTCATATTGGCTATACCATATCTTGAATTATTTCAGCGACTAATATTATGCCCATGGCTGTGTCCATGTGGTATATTGTTCATGCTCTCGATCTGTGTCTTATCCCTGCCGTTCTTCTTCTTCACTTTATTTTACAGTTACGTGTGAGGGACTCTTGCTGCGAGCGGAGCAGCAGAAAGAGAGGGTGCGAGCGGGCTAGAGCGAGACGGAGACCATAAGACTGAAGCTGGCAAACCTCACACAAAATGCGAAGAAGAGGAAGCACTTGCAGCGCACAACAACCACAGCAGCGGCCACACAAACAGCAGCAGCGAAATCAAAGGTTAATCCCCGGCCAACGCTGTTCGCTGCTAATGTTGCTAATTGTTGGCCAAGCAGTTTACGGTAAGTGCCACAACATAGCCAAAGGCATGTGGGCGGGGAAGGGGGATGCAAGTGCGTGTCTGCACTGGAAAACATATTTAATCATCTTAGTAAACATTCAGATAATACTTCTTTTACCTCATAATTTATACAGCATATTTTATAAATCTAAATATTCTTTTTAATATGTTGTGAGCATACTGGTATTCGGTTAGGAATAAAATCTGACAACAATTAATTTCTCCAATTAGTTGCCTTACTTTTTCTGCCAGTGTAAGGCTGTAAGCATCTTCACACATGTGTGCTGTAACTTTTATTGGGCGGGACATGGCCATTGCCCCGTTCTCTGACCTCATTAGACGTTCATTTGTTTGCTTATTTATGCGAATGCGGACGCACACACACACACACATGGGAGATATATCGGCTGTATGTTGGATCATCATCTATATGGCCATATGGCATTTGCGGTCCTTTGTGTTACCAATTCCGCACACAAGTCGAATGCATACTTTTTCGCTTTTGTTCATAAAAATTCGAATCCTCAATGTACGAGCATGAAAAAATGTGAGTGTGTGCCCCAAATTGTATGCTACACAAAGCCACGCACAAAGATGATGTATGTATGTGTATGTTTTCTGGGATGAGTGTGTGTGTGTTTGTGCCTGGATAGAATTCTGTGCTCGTCTGCCTGTAATTAATTGACTCGAACTCGCACATTTTTCGCATCGAGCACAAAAACAAGTCGCAAACTTTTCGCTAGACGACGTTTTTTTCCACTTTACACATATACATATGTACATATATATTTTGCAGTGCAATCAAGGTCGTGTGAAAGGGACGACAGCTACGCGGCATTATCCTTATATTTTTGATATTTTTTCTTGCTATGCTTGTCGCATTTTGTGGCAGCCGGCCAAGTTGGTCAACATGGCATTAATGCAAAAAGTAGGAGAATCCGCTATAATGCCATCCAATGTACATAAAGAGTTGGCTTGTACCTGCCAGCTTGTTTACCAATATGCAGAAATATGTGCTTTTTGCCGAGTGAGTTCGGCTAATTGACATGGCAATCCATAAAGTCGATTCCCATCGACTTATTAGTAGATTTTCAGCGGTTTTTCTTGCAAAGCAATTAAATATATAATTGTAAATTGACCAAATATTTCTATTGAATAAAAATCCAAGCAGATTCGCTTTAAAGCTGGCTCTTAAAATGGCTAAATAAATAAATTGCCAAGTTCACCTGTCCAGCCAAGATACTAGTGCCACGCCCCCTGTTCCCCCGATATCCTTGTGTGGCGCCGCAGAAGCGTTTTCTCAACTAGAGTAATTGATTGACGCCAATGGTCGAGCATCTACCAGCTGTCCTGTGGTTTCTGGACTTTAGACTCTCGGTGCCCAGGACTGCAGACTTGGGCAGGGGCGGCACATCCATCCTTTGATAGGGATTCATTTAATTGCCCAAGCTGTCTGGACGTCGTTGCAGGAACTTTGAGCTGACAGGCTTGCCCACCTGTCCTGCAGAAGGACATTATTCGGCTTTTAGTAACTGAAGTTGCCAAGATGCCAACGGGGTCGTTTTTTGTAACCCGAAATCGTTTAGTAGCACAAAAGGGTCAGCACAAGCCGCATATAATTTTGCCTAATTCATTTTCTCGCATAATAATTTTCGTAGCCCGGCCAAAAGGATGGATTCAGATCCCGATTAGGTTGACGGAGCGAAAGGATGGGGCGGGAGGCAGCTGTCGACAGCCTATCGTAATTGTAAATTAATGCATGCAGAAAATGTGACCCCCACAAGATGGCGGCGACCGGAAGTCAGCTCTCGCACGCACACACACACACACACACACACACACAAACGCACACACACATGGAAACACTAACCATATTGCTGCCTTTACGCCCAACGAGTCCAGGATAAAATGGGGTATATACTGCAGAGGGTAGCATACCAACAGTAAAGATTTTCAAAGTACATTTTAAGCTAAAGAAATACAGAGATTCTTACATTGCCATTACTTTGTTGGAAAAGGTGGTTTAGATGTCCCGCAATTTAAATCAATATATGCAAGCAATTTTAAAAAAGGAATCAACCGGTCTATGCTGGTACGAAAGTTTCTTTCCTTTTTCTTACATTTCGTTTATTTTACTTCGCTTCGCCAATAATTGAATAATTTTGACATGAAAAATGGCACAAAGGATGCGATGAGGCTGGGGGATGGGGGCTGGGCGATTCGGTGGAATCGGTGGAATCGGGGGAATGAGCCCCAAAATTTATCGGGGCGAGGAAATTACCACACGTGGCAATCAAGCGGAAATATTCGGCTATGGAATGCTTGCAACCAAATGCGAAAACCGAAAGCAAAAAATAAATAAACTAAATCCAGATCGAAATGTAGATAAAATGCCTGGCAAGTGTAGAATTTTCATTTGATTCCGGTAAATCGACTAGTTGAATTTCCAACGTATCCGTCTGGCTGCAAAAATGCTGTTGGTAGTGTGGCAATGGGAATGGGAATGGGGAAGGGGGAATGGGGAATGGGAATAGATCCTCCAGCTTGCCAGTGGGGATTGCCTTTATTTATTTGAAATTAGAAACTGCCAACTGTTCCCAAAAGTGGCCATTAATTAAGGGCTATGGGCTGCCTGCTGGGGGAGCAGCTACTGGGGATTGCGTAATGACTGCAAAATGCTAACAAATAGCCAGTTGCCAGTTTTGAGTAGCCATCTTAACAGGGGCGCCGGCTGCAGGGGGGCAGTCACTGACTGAGTGGAACAAATGGGTAATGGATTTGTAAGTAATTGTCTCACCTTTTCCCCGGCACAAAGGACAATCAATTTGCGCGGTGCTAGCGAGCTTTTCCGTGTCATTTCCCAAATCAGCCAAAGAAATATGGTGCAGGGGATTGGCTTTCTTTTATTGCCTTGCTCAATTAATTTAAGGTGAATAAATGTACCAGTATTTGAAATGGATAAAACTGCATGTGCCATATGCTGCACATGGAATTTCCAAAGAGTGAACATTTTCTACGTATTCTAATATTTTATATGACGGAAATTTTGCTGAATTGCAACTTCAGACTAAGCACACATTGGTTTGTACAAATCACAAACTGAATCATCGATGTGTGTGCGTCTATTTTATTTAATTGTTGAACTTTATAGCCTAAATCGAGAACGTTGCTGTTAGGGCAACTAGTTTCAAATCTAGCCTCAAATATTTGATGTATTTTTTCTCTGTGCGAACTTAGGACTCACTTGCAAGTGTTTGTTAACTTAACACTTTTCTGTCCACTTTCTTGGCCAAAATTTAAGGAGATCAGGCCAACGTTTGCTTAAAAACCTTTTCATGCTCCTGTCACGGCCCGTCGCACTTGGCCATGTGCTCCGAATGTTAGTTGACCCAATTGTGGACGCAACGGCCTTGTTCCCCTGGGGAGCAAGCGAGACGGGGCTAGGCTGCCTCTCGCTCTCGCTCTCGCTCTCCCGCTCCCGCTAACTGCATTTAGCTGGGCAAGAACTTGAGAAGTTGCGGAAATGAAATTGGTTTTGACTTTGGGTTGGGCTTTGGGCCTTATTCAACATTAGCTAATTTGTGTGCGCTTCCTTAGTCGGCGATTCGCTTTTTTTGTGCCCTGCTTTTATTGCCTTTAATATCTGCATCTTGCACTTGCTCCTTCCGCCGTTTTCCGGTGCCTTCTGCTTGTTTTGGCCGTTCGACTTAAGTGCCATCCTGAATTGTCCTGAATTGTCCTGGCTGCTCCTGTTCCTGATTCTGCTCCTGCTGCTCCAGTTGTCTTGACACTGATTTCAATTATAAATTTGTTTTTGTTTTGTCTCTTGTCTCTTGTCTCGTACCCATTTCCCATTTCCCTAACTTTCTCCGGTTCCTGTTGGGTTTTTACTTCGCATTTTCCTTGCGTTTGGTGTCTTCACTTTTTTATTCTTTATTGTTGTTGTTTTGTCCCGAGCTGCGATTGCTTTCTCAATTGGTTCCGCTGCTAGGAGCGTTTGTCTGGCTATCACTTTTAATCTAAGTTGGTAACAATGCTGCAGCCCACGAGCCACGCCTCTTTATTTGTTCACTGCCCCCTTAACCCATGTCGCCCACCTTTCAGCCCCTCAGCCTTTCAGCCAAGATGTGAGCTCTGCTCGGTGTCCTTTTATTTCCCCTTCAAGAGCTATAAGCTCATGTCTCTGGCTTTGTGGTTTGGTAAACATACTGCACAAAATTATAGTCTGCAAATATTTTCGCAAGCCGAATGAAAATGTTTGCATTAGCTTGCGAAAAGTTGCTGCGGATACAAGAAAAGAATTTAATTTGCCCAAATTTGCTGTAACTTTAGAAACATTTATGTTTTAAAATATTACACATTGTACTACAAAAGAATACTCAATTAATATTTGATTACGTTGCGCAACTATTTCGGACCAGTCAAACCAAAACCCATGTGGCTTAAATTCCTCGTGTAAAATGCATATCCTTTGTTGTGCCACTTACTTCATGTCTGTCCCTAATTTGCAGCGCTTTGTCTTACACTTTGTAGCTTATTTTTGCCCCAAATGCTGTTGCTTGGAAGGAACCCTTCTCGGTATTTGCTTATATTTTTGAGAATTTATTTTTACCGGTAATCCTGGCGCCTATTTTCCCTGTCCAAAGCCTTTTATTTATCAATTATCAAAAAACCGATATGAATTTTAAAGGGCACACTGGCTTGGCTTGCTTGAATGTTGAAAGGGAATGGAGGAAGTATTTTTAAGAAACCAGATAAAGAATTGCTGAAATTGCTTACTTGTTTACTTGATTTCTTGAACGATTGAAATGACTAAAAGGACTGCGTTTAAATACCACATCAATTTACAAGAAACTACTCAACAAAGTGTAAGTTTATTTTTATTACACTGTGAGCATTTTTCCACCAATAATCCCTGCTTCTGGTGGCATCTCCTCCATCTACCCCATTGGCATTCTTAATTTGCCGCAGCCAGGTGCGCCAGGTAAGCACCACCCCCTG